CGAAAACCTATATTCTTGACACAGATGCCAGTGATACGGGCATAAGCGCGGTTTTGTCGCAAATGGTTGATGGTGTTGAAAATGTTGTGGCATATGGCAGCCGGGTGTTGTGTAACGCACAGGGAGTTGCTGGCCATCGTGCACTTTGTTCGACTGTACCGACCGTATTTGTACGGCAGAGATTTTTTGATCCGTACTGATCACGCGGCACTACAGTACTCGTTGCGAGTTGACCAGCCGTCAGGACAGATGGCCCATTGGCTCGAGACCCTCCAGGAGTACTCTTTCACAATCCAACATAGAAAGGGGATACGTCATGTTAACGCTGATGCATTGTCAAGATCGCCGCAACCGACTGGCTCGTGTCGGTGTGCGGAGGGCTTGCTGCGTTGCGGTCCGCCGCTGCAGGACGTTCCGTCAATGGTCGCTGCAGCGGATTCAATTCGGCCAGAAGCGATTCCTGCGGTGGGATCGGGTTTGTTGGGGTTGACGGTTAGGTCAGTGGAAACAGTTGCAGGTGGATGACTCCTCCCTGACCAGGATGAGGTTTCGTGCCTCTCGCTCAAGGGGATCGGAAGATCGCCCCTTTCTAAAACTTGTCGATGGTCTCTTCGTTCGCTGGGATGTTGAAGCAAAGAAGTTTTGTATTGTTGTTCCGATTGTATTGCGCGGGAAACTCATTAGGTGATACTCATGACAAATTGATGCATTTGGGGGAGAAGACCACATTTACCTTGGGGAAAGATTTCTATTGGCCGGGAATGTATAACGATCAATCTAAACAGTTTTCGTTGAAACCTTCTGCTGCCAGGCCACCAAGATTATACGGCTTACCAAAAATACATAAAGTTGATACACCTCTTCGTCCCATAGGCTCTACTATCAGCTCCCCCACCTACAAACTAGCTCGTTTTTTGTCTGAAATCCTGCGTCCTTTCACTGGAAAGACCACCTCTGCGGTACAAAATTCTACTCACCTGGTATCAACAATCAAGGGTATTTCCCTGTCCCCAGACGACCTGCTTGTCAGTTTTGATGTAGTTTCCTTATTCACCAAGGTTCCTGTACCTGACACCATTGCAATCATTGAAGACTTGGTTCATCAAGGACTAAACACTGAGGTACCCCCCCTGGTGAGACACTGTTTAACCAATACATACTTCACTTGGAATGGAACTTTCTACAAACAAACTGAGGGCACCCCAATGGGCTCCCCCCTTTCTCCAGTTATAGCTAACATTTTCATGGAGAAATTTGAGACTGACGCCATCCAGACTGCCACTCTGCGCCCAACCTTATGGAAGAGGTACGTGGATGACACTTTTGTCATCTGGCCACATGGCCGGCCTGCTCTAGACGAATTCTTCGACCACATCAATTCCATACACCCAGCCATCAGATTTACCATGGAAGTCGAAATAGATGGCAAGATACCTTTTTTGGATGTCCTAATTAAAAAGAGACCTGATGGTTCAATGAGCCACTCTGTCTACAGGAAAGCTACCCATACGGATGCTTATCTGAAACCGGATTCCCACCACCATCCATCACAGAAGAATTCTCTCATCAAGACTCTGTATCATAGAGCCCAATGCATATCCGACCAGGAACACATAAGCAGTGAACTCAAGCACGTACACCAAGCTCTTAGGGCTAATGGTTACTCCGACTATACAATCCGCAAAGCTATCACTCAAACCATGAAGAAGAACCCTCTTGAGGAGCCTTTCAAAACCATCACTTTACCCTACATTGCTGGGATCACAAAAAAGATCTCCAAAATCTTGAATAAACACAAGATCCAGGTCCGTTTCAACACATTACATAAAATCCGTGATCTGGTTCCGTCTGTAAAAGATGTGATTCCGGACATACAATACCCTGGTGTCTACAAACTAAGTTGCCTCTGTGGTAGTAGTTACATTGGAGAAACCAAACGCCATATCTCGGACCGCATTCGTGAACATAAAGCAGACCTTAAACACGGTAGGACCAACACCTCGGCCGTAGCAGATCATTGTTCTAATTCAGTAGGCTCACATGCCATTGACTTTTCCAAGACGGAGGTTCTTTGTAAGCCATCTGGCTTCCATGAGAGATTCGTTCATGAGGCTATCCACATATACAAACACAGAGACAATTTCAACCGAGAAGATGGATTCTATCTTAGCAATCATTGGAAAGATTTGATGAATCATTTCAGTTCTTGATTGATTGTTCACACTTACAGTGGCTTTCAGACAGCATACATAAAAACAAATTTCGTCTCCCCCCTCCTCTTTTCAAAAAATAGATGGACTAGTCCTGGCAAACAGCAATCGTTGCGCGTGACGCAAACGTTATTTTATATATATAAATAAATATGCCGTTTTCAAAATAAATTTATGCAAACCGACACACCTGATGATGACCGTTTGAGTTATGGTCGAAACGTCGTGAGAATTTTTATTGTTTTATATATATTTTGTTATTTTGTTGTTTCTCTTCAACGTGACTTTACCGAAAAAACTAAGAATATGAATTACTGCAGTCACGAAAGCTTTAAATCAAAATGTATAACGATGTTCAGCGATTTGTAAAAGCATGTCATGAATGTGCGCAGAGGAAGGCGCCGGCGCGACCCTATCGTGTACCGTTGCAATTGATACAGGTTTCGCGTGTCAACGAAATTGTCGCCCTAGATATGTTGGGTCTGTTTCCCGTCACCCCCGGGGGCAATGGTATCTGCTCGTCGGGGTGGAGTACCTTACTCGCTGGCCTATGGCATGGCCACTGGTGGACCAATCTGCGGCGTCGATCGCAGAGACTTTCTTGCAGGGATATGTTTTCGATAAGGGTGCCCCGGAGCATTTGCTCACTGATCAGGGCAGAAATTTTTCGTCACGATTGATTAAGGAGGTGTGTGATTCATTAGGGACCAAAAAGATTCGAACGTCCCCGTACCACCCGCAAACTGACGGGATGGTCGAGCGCCTGCATAGGATGCTGACGTCTATGCTTTGCCACCAGGTGAATGCTTCACAGGATGATTGGGACCTGCATGTTGCGGCGACGCTGGCCGCTTTTAGACTGGCCCTGCATGCCTTGACGGGGTACTCGCCGTTTTATTTGATGTATGGGCGCGACCTGGAAGCGCCGGCCTTGGTCAAATTTGGTGTACAGAAACAAGGGAAGTCATCGACGGTGCCTGCTCCTATGCAGGTGGCATTGCACCGTCTGAGAGAGGCTCGGGAGGCCTCGTTGGGTAACACGGCGCGACGACAAGCCGCTAACGAATGGTTGCATGGTACGCAGCGGCACCGAGAGCCGTGGTGTGTTGGGGACAAAGCGTGATTACATTGCCCCATGGTACTGGTGGGAACCTCTCCAAAGTTCCATCGGCCCTGGCAGGGGCCCGTTGAGGTTGTTGAGGTACTCTGAGACCAAAGTGTACGGATTCGATTCGGTCGTCGGATATATGTTCACCCGTCGCGCCTTAAGAAGTTTGTATTGCCGTATGATGCGTCATCTCCCATCCCAGAGTGGCCTGTATTGGATGTATCCGACGAGCCTGTGAGGAGGTCGCATGTGTACGCGCCTCAGAAATCTGCCTCTCGTGTGCCTGCTGGACCATCCCTATTGACTCGACGAGGGGGTTCTGGCAGGTTTGCTGGCCGGACGCCGGTTGACCGGCCGCAACCTCGAAATGCTGTCCGGCCCGAGCATGGATGAAGGACGGTCCCGCCACCGGATGGTCGCTGGGACAGGGACGGGTGTGCGTCGAGGACCAGAAGCAGCCCTCACTTAACGGAGGAGCGTGGCCCGCCCTTGCCCCACGGTGTCCCGTGTAGGAGAAATGGGCCGGCAGCTGGAACTCGCTCCCGAGGACGGACCTTCCATTGACTTTGCGTGTTGCTGTTCTTGTACAAAGTTGTTGTGTTGTTTCGTTGTTACGTCCGAGAAATCTGAAGCAAGACGAAGTATTTAGCAGTGAAGTGAGCGTAGCGATAGCGAAGCTGAAGCAAGACGAAGTAGTTAGCAGTGGAGGGAGCGTAGCGATAGCGGAGCTGAAGCAAGACGAAGTAGTTAGCAGTGGAGGGAGCGTAGCGATAGCTGAGCTGAAGACGCTGTGTGCGGAGTTGCTGAACGGGGAGTCGCTGAGTGCGAAGCAAGTGAAGTAATAGTGGGGAGACAAAGGTGGTGAGTGAGATGAGCGGAGCACGGTGAGCGAGCCGTGGTGACCAGGATACTGGAGTGTGGAGGACATGTTGAATGTTGTAAATAAAGCGGTGTTCAAAGAAAGACAGAAGTTGTCCGCGTAAAGTCGAACACTACATCTAGATACCCATTAAAGACTGATTCGACATAGGGGAGGCTTCGTACAGTTCGATATGGTCAGGAATTGAATTGACATTACATATTAACATCGATTTGTGTGTTGTGCAATGTTTTAGTCACACAGTTGCTTTTCGTGGCGATTTCTATTTACGTCGTTGCTGTACTTTGTTAACCTATGCTTTTGTAATGTTTGTGACCAGCCAGGCCACTTGCCTCTATCATGGTATCTCGAGTTCTCACTGTGGCCACACAGAATCACCTTGAATCCGTGTCGCCGGGATTGTGTAGGAGCCACTATGACATTATACACACGTACAAAGTTCCCCCATATAGCCTAAAAAGATTGTTGAAGACTGGCATGGCACTCGGGGTGGTGGGTGGCCAGCACCATGCCCGGCCACGTTTGTCTCCATAGTGGTAGTCTTTACACATCTCACCAGGTACTCATTCGAGGCTGAGTCTATCTAGGGGAAGGCCCACGTCTGGCTCAGATTATCGTCACTGGTATTAGCCATGAACGATAATCGAACTCGGGTCGCTAACAGCTAGACTACCGCTGCTCACACACATGCACATTCATATATATACACCCACTCACAACATATAGACAACACTACAAAGACAAACCCATACACAATTACTGATGTGTACACACATACACAGCACACACAATGCATCTCTGCTTAACTCCTTATACTGGACAAGAGACTTGTTTTTATTTGCCAACAGGTGAAAACATGTTTATACACAAGCCCCACAAATGGCATTGTCACTATCATGTTATTCTTTTGAAATCGTTCCAAATCAAAGAGGGAATATTTAGACATTTGTATCACCGATGACCTTCTGGGCGAGCTATGACAGTGAGCGATGCCGTGCGTCGAATGAGTGTCTGTGTGGGTCTCCCACAGGCAATAGGGCCTCACGGCAATCCAGGGATCGGCCCTCGAGATGTGGACATCACAGAACTACTGCCTCTTGCTCCAACTCTGGGTGGCACTGCTACACCCTCTGGTTTATGCCGCAACTCAAGTGGCCCGTGACGTTTTTTGTATTCAGCGCCAAAAGCTTAGCCTCGTCAAATTAAATAAAAAGCTAATTTCTTCGGTGGATTTTTGTGTGAAATCACTGGCGACCAGGCTGAGACCATCAGCCCTCATGGCACTGGAAAAAAAACCGCGGCCTTACCATGGGCGGCTGAAACACGAATTCAAGTCTCACACCACAGTGACGTAGGTTCAGTGTTTAGACACGGCCACTGTGAACCTCACATCCAAATAGAAATGTCAATTGGCCATTAACAGGGCTTAATTTCTCACTAAATATGTTCGGCATCACCGGTAACTGGAGCAGGCGGCGCATGACTAGGAGCCGCAGCCAACGGTACACTGGGTGTGGTGAGCATTTTGCGTAAATGTTTGCTGGGTTGGTGATGCCAACCGACCCGACTCAAATTAAGCCCTTGTCATTACCGCCTGCTGCTCAAATGATATGTCCACTCGGACTGCTCAAGTCCAGTCCAGTTCAATGTGTTCCAGTCCTGCTTGGTCCAGTTCAGTCCAGTCTAGTCCAGTCCAGTCTAGTCCAGTTCAGTTCAGTCCAGTCTAGTCCATTCTAGTGTAACAGCACGGCTTCCGAACTCGGGTCTCCCCCAACTTGAAGGACGCACGGATCGCGCTGGGAGAATCTGTAAGAGGAGCATGGACGCGACATCACTCTGAGCTCTTCCTGAATTGGCGAGCCTGGCCATTCTGCCAAGGCTGCCAGTACAGTCCATTCCCACCCTATTAAGTCCAGTCCAGTCATGTCCAGTTCATTTCAGGCCTACAAAGTCCAGTCCAGTATGCTCTAATCTGTTTTGGTCTAGTCTAGTCTGGTGTAGTGCACTAGAGCGTGGTTTAGTTCAGTCCGGTCCAGTCTAGCCTAGTTCGGTTCAGTCCAGTACAGTCTAGTATGCTCCAATCCGGTCTGGTCTAGTCCAGTCCGGTGTCATGCGGTAGAGCCTGGTTTAGTTCAGTTCGGTCCAGTCTAGTCTGGTTTGGTTCAGTCCAGTCGAAGCAAAGTCCACCAGTCACATCCCCTGGGCTACGCCACGCTCACTATCGGCAGTTGCGCAGGGCGGCCGCGGCGATCATGGACACGGCCCTCGTGGCCTCGGCGCACGTGGGGCCGATCTGGCGCTCGGGCAGCAGGAAGCCGTAGCGGCCCGTGTCGCGCAGCTCCAGCGCAAACGAGTAGCGTGCCCCCTGCGAGTAGGCCCAGTCCAGCGAGCTGCCTGACGTCACGTCTGTGGGGAGAGGCAGGGAGAGGAGTCAATTTTTTTTTTTTACCAGGTAAGGCCCACTGAGCTAAACAGTTCTTTTTTAGGGGCGACTTTGCCAGAAATGATATCTCAATGAAGTGGCTTATCATGTGGAAATATATAACAGCCAGCTCTTTAAATGCAGAAAGTCTCCAAACGAACCTCAGGAGTTGCGATGTAAATCAGCAGACGACACGCCTCCTTGCAATTTATGTTCTTCCACATATACTGTTTTTATAAAAATTACTAAAAATACACACATCCCATCAGCCACATGGCCTTTCTGGAGTGATTTTTTTTCAGCAGTATTGGTTCAAACAAGCAAAATCTGGACATTAACCCTAAATGTGATAACATTCCAGCAATATGGCCCACAACAAAATAATATATACAATTTTATTCAGTGTCGTCCCTGATGTCAGTGGTAGGGGATGTGACGACGTGGCGTATTTATTCACCACTCGTGCGATTTTACAGAAGAAGAAAAAAGTTACGTATTTTTTTCACAAATCTTGTTTTGAAATGAATCCTGGTACGGCTGCTTTCCGACATGCGGCTGCGAAATTGGACGCGAAAGCAATTCTTGTCTCATATTAATGGCCTTCCGTTATGCCGGCCGTAAACACGCAGCTTTTTTTCTTCTCTCTCTTTTAAAAAATAACAAACCCAGCAAAAAAAAGAATAAATAAGTGGCGAGTATCCTTTGATTGTATAAACACGGCTCCATGATGTATGTCTCGAACAAATGCATTTGTCATCTGCATCTGTTTCAAACAGTCCGTTACAGAGAAAGAGTGGGAGGGGGGGGGGGACAAACGAGGCAGCCACGAATGGCCGGCTCAGCTTGTGTCTCCTTTTGGGTTGAGATGATCATTTTTAGATGACCCACCTGAAGCATCAGCCCGGAATGTGTGACGCACACGTCTGTACTCCGAGAGGCGGTTAATGGCACCGACTTGAACAATCTCTCAAACCCATTGAGCTGCAGAGTTGGCCAGATGATGGCAGTGCAGCAAGTGGGTTTTGTGAGCGCATCTGTGCGGACCCCTCCTATTGGTGGCGAGATGTTAACTACCTCGTCTGGTATACACGGAAGTCGTGGGTTGGATCCCGACCCTGACGCTGTTAATTGGGAGTTTGCGGTGTCTCTCCTGGTGCTCGAGAGGATTTTTCTCTGGGTACTCCGGTTTTTCCCTCCTCATTTAGAATCAACATCACACGTTTAGATTGATTGGCTGCTATTCAATTCCACGTGATGATAAGCCACTTCGTTGAGCTACCATTTGTGATAGCAAGGTCGCTTCTGAAAAAGAGCTATGTAGCTCAGTGTGGCCTTGCCTGGTAAAATAAAAAAGTTTAGTTGAGTGCCGAGTACTCCAGTCTCCCTCCCACATGCAGCGCGGTCATAGGTTGAGCCAAACATTCTGACACAGTACCCTCCCGGGAGAGAGTCAGTGAGGTTCTCGTTGGTCAAAACTAAATCCGAGTTCTTACTATTTATTATACTGTATGAGTACAGTGCAGCCCTTTTGTCAATCCACTATTGGATGAGGGCCTCCCCACACCGTGCGAGTCGTGGGGGCAATTTGACCATACTTCACCACGCTGGTCAGTGAGGGTCGGTAAAGGTCAGGAGGCATGAATCTGGGAGCATAGAAGTGCAGCATCATGATTATTTTCATCATTACACGACCTTTGTAAAACGCAAACTAATCTTCACACGCGTGTGTTGATGCGCGAAGCGTGAGAATAAGAATGTATTTCAAACCGATTAACCGTATTGTGTCGCAATGTCTCTCTCCTGCTCCCTAGCGATACCCTTACTGGGCCTTTGGTTGGCGCTGAGGCTCAGATGTTTATAACGAGCCTTAAGAATCCCCAACGTGTCTGACCACAAGCATTGTGGTTAATGTAGACATGATTCCTTGTAAAAGGTTTCAGTTTGGTGTTTTAACATCTTAACAGCTGTTTTGTTGCCAGATATAAGGGGAAAACCCTATTATCATATTTTGGTACAGACAAAGCAGGTCCCGTGATGTGTCAAGGTAGCTTTATGAGTGGCAGACACCTCACCTCTGCCTTGAACGTCTTAACTGGGCCCTGAGAGTCCACCTGGGCCATGAGAGTCCACCTGGGGCATGAGAGCCCACCTGGGCCCTGAGAGTCCACCTGGGCCCTGAGAATCCACCTGGGCTCTGAGAGTCCACCTAGGCCCTGAGAGTCCACCTGGGTCCTGAGAGTCCACCTGGGCCCTGAGAGTCCACCTGGGCCATGAGAGTCCGCCTGGGCCCGGAGAGTCCATCTGGACCCTGAGAGTCCACCTGGGGCATGAGAGTCCACCTGGGGCATGAGAGTCCACCTGGGCCATGAGAGTCCACCTGGGCCATGAGAGTCCACCTGGGCCATGAGAGTCCACCTGGGGCATGAGAGTCCACCTGGGGCATGAGAGTCCACCTGGGCCATGAGAGTCCACCTGGGCCATGAGAGTCCACCTGGGGCATGAGAGTCCACCTGGGGCATGAGAGTCCACCTGGGGCATGAGAGTCCACCTGGGGTATGAGAGTCCACCTGGGCCCTGAGAGTCCACCTGGGCCCTGAGAGTCCACCTGGGGCATGAGAGTCCACCTGGGCCATGAGAGTCCACCTGGACCCTAAGAGTCCACCTGGACCCTGAGAGTCCACCAGGGCCCTGAGAGTACACCTTGGCCCAGAGAGTCTACCTGAGATTCCACCTGGGTCATGAGAGTCCACCTGGCCCGGAGAGTCCACCTGGGCCCAGAGTGTCTACCTGAGAGTCCACCTGGGGCATGAGAGTCCACCTGGGGCATGAGAGTCCACCTGGGGCATGAGAGTCCACCTGGGCCCAGAGATTCCACCTGGGCCCAGAGAGTCTACCTGAGAGTCCACCTGGGGCATGAGAGTCCACCTGGACCCTGAGAGTCCACCTGGGCCCTGAGAGTTCACTTGGGCCATAAGAGTCCACCTAGGCCATGAGAGTCCACCTGGACCCTGAGAGTCCACCTGGGGCCATGAGAGTCCACCTGGGCCCCGAGAGTCCACCTGGGGCCATGATAGTCCACCTGGGCCATGATAGTCCACCTGGGCCATGATAGTCCACCTGGGCCATGATAGTCCACCTGGGCCATGAGAGTCCACCTGGGCCCTGAGAGTCCACCTGGGGCATGAGAGTCCACCTAGGCCCTGAGAGTCCACCTGGGCCTTGAGAGTCTGCCTGGGCCCGGAGAGTCCACCTGGGACATGAGAGTCCACCTAGGCCCAGAGAGTCCACCTGGGCCATGAGAGTCCACCTGGGGCATGAGAGTCCACCTGGGGCATGAGAGTCCACCTGGGGCATGAGAGTCCACCTGGGCCATGAGAGTCCACCTGGGGCATGAGAGTCCACCTGGGGCATGAGAGTCCACCTGGGGCATGAGAGTCCACCTGGGGCATGAGAGTCCACCTGGGCCATGAGAGTCCACCTGGGGCATGAGAATCCACCTGGGGCATGAGAGTCCACCTGGGGCATGAGAGTCCACCTGGGGCCTGAGAGTCCACCTGGGGCATGAGAGTCCACCTGGGCCATGAGAGTCCACCTGGGCCATGAGAGTCCACCTGGGGCATGAGAGTCCACCTGGGGCATGAGAGTCCACCTGGGGCATGAGAGTCCACCTGGGCCCTGAGAGTCCACCTGGGCCCTGAGAGTCCACCTGGGCCCTGAGAGTCCACCTGGGGCATGAGAGTCCACCTGGGCCATGAGAGTCCACCTGGACCCTAAGAGTCCACCTGGACCCTGAGAGTCCACCAGGGCCCTGAGAGTACACCTTGGCCCAGAGAGTCTACCTGAGATTCCACCTGGGTCATGAGAGTCCACCTGGCCCGGAGAGTCCACCTGGGCCCAGAGTGTCTACCTGAGAGTCCACCTGGGGCATGAGAGTCCACCTGGGGCATGAGAGTCCACCTGGGGCATGAGAGTCCACCTGGGCCCAGAGATTCCACCTGGGCCCAGAGAGTCTACCTGAGAGTCCACCTGGGGCATGAGAGTCCACCTGGACCCTGAGAGTCCACCTGGGCCCTGAGAGTTCACCTGGGCCATAAGAGTCCACCTAGGCCATGAGAGTCCACCTGGACCCTGAGAGTCCACCTGGGGCCATGAGAGTCCACCTGGGCCCCGAGAGTCCACCTGGGGCCATGATAGTCCACCTGGGCCATGATAGTCCACCTGGGCCATGATAGTCCACCTGGGCCATGATAGTCCACCTGGGCCATGAGAGTCCACCTGGGCCCTGAGAGTCCACCTGGGGCATGAGAGTCCACCTAGGCCCTGAGAGTCCACCTGGGCCTTGAGAGTCTGCCTGGGCCCGGAGAGTCCACCTGGGACATGAGAGTCCACCTAGGCCCAGAGAGTCCACCTGGGCCATGAGAGTCCACCTGGGGCATGAGAGTCCACCTGGGGCATGAGAGTCCACCTGGGCCATGAGAGTCCACCTGGGGCATGAGAATCCACCTGGGGCATGAGAGTCCACCTGGGCCATGAGAGTCCACCTGGGGCATGAGAGTCCACCTGGGGCATGAGAGTCCACCTGGGGCATGAGAGTCCACCTGGGCCATGAGAGTCCACCTGGGGCATGAGAGTCCACCTAGGCCCTGAGAGTCCACCTGGACCCTGAGAGTCTACCTGAGAGTCCACCTGGTGCATGAGAGTCCACCTGGGGCATGAGAGTCCACCTGGGCCATGAGAGTCCACCTGGGCCCAGAGAGTCCACCTGGGCCCAGAGAGTCTACCTGAGAGTCCACCTGGGGCATGAGAGTCCACCTGGGGCATGAGAGTCCACCTGGGCCCAGAGAGTCCACCTGGGCCCAGAGAGTCTACCTGAGAGTCCACCTGGGGCATGAGAGTCCACCTGGGGCCATGATAGTCCACCTGGGCCATGATAGTCCACCTGGGCCATGAGAGCCCACCTGGGCCATGAGAGTCCACCTGGGCC